TCTTTCATGCAACTCTTGAACCTGCTCAGTTTGGGGTCTTAAAGAGAAGGTATTATCCTGCATGCTGACACTCCTCAATAGAAATTTGGATATAAGAAATGGAAGGGGTACGAAAAATACAATATTCTCTTGTAGAAGGGAATAGCTAATATCTCTTTTGATGTTAAATTTGGTAACTTGTTTAATATCATCTGAGATATTCATGTTAATAGGCCTACTGTCCATTGTTCTTTTTAAAATCTTCAAGTTGTAAAAAAGGGCTCCTATAACATGGTGTCTGCTCTGCTCAAACATACCACCAGCCTTGACCAGCCCTGTGTCAACAACTGTTGGCCATGCATGAGGCAGCCAAATAAGGCTACGAAGACCTACGTGTGGCTGGAATTGCTCTGTGGTTGAGCATCAACCTATGAACCAGGAGGTCACGGTTGGATTCCCAGTGGGGACACATACCCATGTTCAAGCTCCATCCCCAGTAGGGGGTGGACAAGAGGCAGCTGACCACGGTGCCCACCTGTAAGGAGATGGTACTTTGGAGGAACCCGAAGCTCAAATACTTGTCATGTTTTGCTTCAATTATTTTATATGTATGTACACACACACATATATATATATACACATATATATACACACACACACACACACACACAATATATGTACATATATATATTATAAAAGGTCTCATAGCTCTGCTGGCAATGTTGCCTGAGACAGTTTGGAGTGACACTATTAGGTGCTACTGCTGGGTATGGTCTCTGTGATGTGCTGAACACCTAATCCTCAAAGACGGTGATGTGTCTGCTTTGGCGAATGATGGGGCATTACTGCTGTTTGAGGCAGCGGGAGGGGGCAATCCTGACTGCATTTCTCTCCTGCCGGGATATGGAGGAAGCAAACATGTACCTAACAGAGAAGGACATCTTCCTTTACACTGAGCTGCCTGTGAGGGACATTATCTTGCACTGAAATATCTTATCCCAATAACATCCAAGCATGCAATCTGGAAATGAGGGCTAACACCAATTCACTCAACAGCAGGTGGGCAAAGGCAGAGTGCCTAGAGCTGCTCATTGGGAGTGGTTTTGTCATCAATAACCTGCTTGCTGACCACATTTCCAAGAGCTATGACGAGAGGAGTACTGTGCTGGACTTTGCTGTTCCTAATACTGATATCCATTGCACAGAAGTCCTGAATACAGTGCCTGCCATTCAGCATGCCCTAAACGATGAGGTGATGCTGAGGCTGTCGCTGAATGATGGCTGTCGAGTGGAGCTGCGCTTTGAGTGCATGTGTGGGGACATATTTGGGAATCGTGTATGTGGTCAGAGATAGAAGAAGGAGTACTGCCGGGATGGACATCTTGTGTAATATAGGATAACCTGTCCGTTATTAGATGACATGGATTATATGCTTCTGTGTGCTAAGCTGCAGTCTGCACTGGAAGTACAGAGAGAATGGCCAAAAATCCAGCCAATGCTAGGTAAAAACACGTTTTGCCTAAAGTTTTTCAATGAAAAATGTCTATAGGGGAAATTTTTTAATGCCATCTTTGATACCTTTTCAGTGCTACCTTATTTTCAGAATTATGTTTTTGAAAATCATCCTTAATATTTCCTCTGGTTTAAGATACTAATTTCTTGCGTTTCTTGATACTTTCCAACTCTTTAATTATATAAGGGGTAATATTATAACTACATTAACATACTAATTAGAACGCCTTTTTTTAAGTTGACATCGATAATATCATAAAGTATGTAAACTGTAATCTCCATATGGGTAGGGATGTTTTGTATATTTTTATATTCTCAAGGCTTAGCATAATTTCTAGAAGTGGTAAAAACAATAAATACCGAGTAAATAAAAAAACTAACCAGTAGAACATACTAAATGTACGTGATTATTAACTACATTTGCCAATACTTATATTTTTTAAAGCAACAGAATTGGGTAAAAAATCCAATCCCTGTATCTATTAGTAAATTATTTAATGATTGTTAAGTATAAACTTCGCCAAATAAATTCTAGGTAGATCTATGTATATTAGAAGTCATGTAAAAAACTTATTGAATGAAGCAGCTAAAGTACAGTAAACTTGAGCTAGGTGATCTATTTCTCCATGAAGCATAAGGGAAGCCATTAGAGACTAGAGAAAAATAGAGAGAGAGACTAGCAGCTTTGTTAATATTAATGCCATTGTAAACCAGGGCTGGACACATTGTGATTTTATAGCAATTCATGTGAGAACACTCAAACTGCCCCATGACCTAACACATAAAAGACTGTGTGGCCATAATCTAAATTACTTCACACTTCCTGGCTGGAAGTGTTGTCCTAACTTAAGTCTTCATAGTTAGCTTTCAGAATTAATAAGCCCTTTTGGTTGAAACATATCTTCAACTAATTGCTTGTACAGAAGTGTCTTGAAAAAGCCTGATGAAGTATAGTTATAATTAGCTACCATACTTAGAGAAAAATACCTCTAAACATTAGCAAAAATTTACTGATGTTCATTCTCACAGAAGTTTTAACTTCATCATTTTACTGAATGTTATGTAGCTTATGTTCTCTACCACTATTACTATTGAAAGTAAACTTTGTTTTCTTCTGTTAAAGAGATTAATACATAGACTAGAAATTTAAATATAGCTATCCCATGTTAACCACAAATATTTTTAATACAACTCTTAAGCAAAATAGTATTTTTTTAAATAATGGAACGATTAATTTAGTATTTTTAAACTGTAAGTCTTGGTTACAAAGTACCAAAAGCACTTTAACTGAATGCCTACTGTTTGGGGAATATGAACTCACGTCAATTTCTGCTTACAATCTTCAGCCCATAAAGATTTTTTAAGGAAAAGAACAACAACAAATATAATTGTTCAAGAGGTGTAATATATAATATCTACGTAAAACTCATCTCCAGAAGTCCAATTAAGGACTTTGCTTAGTAAAATATCCTTTAAAATCCATATTGCTTCAAATGTAATGTTTATAAGGAACTACTTCATCCAATAACTCTGAGTAGGAAAGTTTAAAAAGAATAAAAAGAATTACTAATCTCATTATTTTAGTGTAACAGAATCAGCAAAAAAAAAATCATTCCAAAACTGAGATTAAAAACACTAAATGTATTTTTTAGATACTCAGTTAAACACATTAGATACTTGCTTACCACTGTAACAATAAATTTCTGTGTTTCCTAATACATTGGTAATGTTAAAGTAATGACTTTTCTAGTTCTAAAGACTTAATTTGCCAAAATAAGGTTTAAAATAAAAATTCATGAAATGTTTACATTTGTTTATCCTAATCTGATATAAACTTGTAAATGACAGCAAATATATGTATGAACATACACAAATGAAGCAAACTAGTCATCATTTTGTATGAACTATATGTGTCATCATAAACAGGAATACATAATTTTCATAAAATATAACAACCTTGCACATGCACTCCCCTAAGCTTGGACCTCTGACAGGTTCAGAATTTGGCCATACAATTGACTTGTGGGCCAGTGAGTCTCTAGAGCCAGTATAATTACAACAATTAGCCAAAAGAGGGCGCAGAGAGAGCACTAGAGTTCAGGCACTCCCTAGGAAACTACCCGCTGGTTTTTCTCAAGTTGTCTAACAAGGACAAAACCCACAGTTAGGCGTGCTAATTTGAGAATACTGAAAATTAAAGTACATGTATATACAGATATACATTAATATAGAATCTTATATAAATATATTGGTACGTAGCATTTCTATCATTCAAACAAAATAAATCTCTGCCTTGCCTAGTGTGTTAGTTTGTATTCCAGTACCAGGGGAATCAGGTACAGAGGGATCGGATCAGCGAGGGTATAAAGAGGAAAGAGAATGTGCCCTAGAAATGGTAAATCCAAGAAAAACAAAACCCTCTTAGAGTGGGAAAGGAACCACCTCTGGTTCTCATTACTGAAGCAGCAGCTGGCTCTGAATACCTCCCAGGTACCTTTCAAGGTAACTAGTACTCCTATATGAAGTGTAACTGTGCCTTTAAGGGATATAACGCTCTTTAAGGGATCTTCACTTCACACTTCACTGTTTTCTCTCAAGGTCCAGTTATAGGCAGAACAATCAATTGATATCTATCTGTATTATCTATACATTACTTCCTTAAAACAGTTCCCCCATCAGGCCAAATTTGGTCAATATGTTAGTTTACACAAACCCCAACCCATTTCCATGACATGAACATACTAATTTTGTGGTACATTAAGCTCTACAAATAAATTTCTCATTAAATTTACTATGCATTTTATCAGCACCAATACATATTTTCATCTGCCACTTCTATACTTTTAAATAATAAAGCATTATAATCAGAACATGTAAGACATGGCACTTAAATTTCTGAGAACAGCTAATTCTATTATTTTAGAAGATAGTTTCTGAAAGAACTAACCACAATATAGTTAACTGGCTGATACGGCAACTTTCTGTTTCATGAGTTCTCCGGTATGATTCCCTACTATCAAAGCTAAGTAAAAGGAAACTACTGATATGTTCCAAGAACAAGAGACCCCTTCAATCTTCTCTAAGAGTCAAGAGAAAGACTGTGAGTACATAAATTTTCAAAAAAGATATATGGATTTTGCAGTATTCTAATGGAGAAAATGTTAAAGCTGAATTTTTTTCTAAGTATGCTAAAGTTCTTTTTACACAAATGTTCTATGCTTTCTAAGAGACCACTTAGCAATTTAAATTTGTGTAAGGCTAATGATAAATGTAGATCATTATATTTTCTTATTTTAAGGCTATTTCCTAACATTAGCTACAAAAAAAGGTCTCTCAATCCAAATTATAGTTGGCCCATTAAAATTTAAATTCAATTTGGCTGATTGATTGTAGGTACACAAAAGTTATTTACTTTTACTAGCAATTTCCTGTAGTTTTGTTTCAGGAATAGTTGGCCAATATTTATTATATATAAATCTTCATTGTGTAATTTTAGATCTACTAGTAGGTAAATAAAAGCAAAAAGTATATATATTTTTCAAAAGCACAATATTCCTCTTTATACTGTACATTATATATTTTCTAGTTATATTAGCATTTTAAAAACACACATTCTGGTATAACTGCACTAGAAAAGATATCTGTGGAATTATTGCAAATTCTCTATCCATTTGCTCACCAAAATCTTAGGGTAAAATAGGAATACATGCCCACTTAGTCGAAGTTTTCTCCTCAGAACAAATATATTAACAACAATCAATACTTACAACAGTACAGGGAAAAGAAACAGAAAAATTAACATGGAAAAACATTTAATCTTTCCTTTAACATAAGGTAGATAGTTGGTGCTTTATTTTAGTGGTATTTTGTTTTTGGTGAAGAGAAAACATTAGAAAGCTACTAAGAAAACACTGCCCTTTTTTGTTGTTCAATCCTATGCTGCATTTTAAAAAAATCTTGCAGCATATATAAAAGTATTAACATATTTTAAACTGTACTTGAAAAAGAAATTTCACATATAAGGTGTAAAACCTTTTGTAAAAGCTGAAGAATTAAATTCAGATTTGATTAGTTTTGCTCAAGAGTGAAAATTTTAAATAAACATCTGAAAATTCCCATAAATTAAAATCTGTAATATTGTCAGTGCTAAAAGAAATTATGTACAATTATTTCATCCTAATCACTGCCTTTTGAGTTTAATAACAAAAGCACTTTAAGAAATCCCCGTGGAAAGCTAATTTGAAAGTAAACATGCTTTGAAACTTAAATATAGTTCTTGTGTTAGTCCCACAACAGGATCAAGATCACTATTAAAATGAAGCCTGGGGCACATTATGATGCCTAAGATTGGTGGGTGGATTTTAATTGACTTGAAGACTGTCATCGTTCTATTATCAGAAAACCTGTAACGCATTTCCAGCATGGAGGACCCATCTGTGCCCACCATCCATCTGTTTAGACGTGATTGGCAAAGTGGTAGGGAACTCGCAGTGGTTGCCTCTGCCTGAAAGGAATAAACCACAGGATCTTCCAACGAGTGCCAAAAACTTCTGAGAAGGTCTGCTGCCATGGCTTTCGGGGCCTCGATCTACAGAAGACAGCATTATTAGTGAAAGACAGCACTCCCATGGTGCACTTCAGTCAGCTAAAACAATACAGGTTGGCTGGGGATCCATTACAGGACTCTGATGAATTGTGTTCCAGCATCACAAATACAGCTTTTCTTTCATTATGGCATGCAGCTGAGTTTTAACTCTGGAGAGCAGATATTGTATCTGTGTCGTCAATCAACCTACGGCAACTTTTGAAGCAGAGGAGAATCTCAGGATTAACAGAATGTGTGTCAACAACACAGTAGCAAATCTCTTTTGATGTACTTTCAGGACAAATAATTTAACTTACTTTAGTGAGACAAGTAACAAGAATGATAGTACTTATTTTGTATGAAAACTAGCATAGCTATAAGACCCCAGCTGTAAGACCGGGTTATGCCTGCCTAGCTCAGGCCTTAGACAAGGCTCCAAGAAAAAACCATCATTCTATTATCTTTCCACTACATGCATACATTTTCTCAAATGTGGCCAGTTGTTTCCATTTTTAATAAGAACTCTATAGACTTCACTTTTATACTTACATTTCTTCACAACAGTTTGACATCTTTTCAATAGATGTTGTATCCTATTAAAAATTAAGAAAAATACTCAGAACAAAGTTATTAAGGCTTTATTCTATATTAATTTTTAATGTTTTAAAGTCATATCCAGAGAATATTCTGAAGATTTAAATAGTATATATATGAGTAATACGATTTCTAAATTATCTACAGACACTGCTGAAATTGCTTGGGAAGAAAAACAGAATAAAAATTACATTGTACTCCCACTCCACAAATATTACTCAATTACAAAACCTTGCAAAAACTGTAGGAGTCTCACTTCATTATGTAATATTTTTATTATACTTCCTTCCTTCACAATTCTTTTAAAAGTCCAGTATCTACTTTTAATTCAACTGCCAGTGAATATGCATTAAAAAATAAATACCAAAAATGACAGATAAAGGCACTAATGCACAGAGAGCCAAAGAGTGCTGCTGGGCTTGGACTTCTGAGAAGACACAGATTCAACAAGGGCCCTGCACCTGCCACACCACAACACCCAGTGCGCTGAAGGCGAAGTGAGCTCATCAGAGTCCTTTGGTGAAAAAACAATTTCCTTTTTCAACAAAAAAATCAGCCTTTTCATAATAATACAATTTCTTATTATATATTTTATATAAGGCTCTAACGAATATATAAGAAAAACAAGTCAACAAACAAAAGGTAGTTTCTATATATGCTGGTTCAACTCATGTTAACAGAAGATCTATCATTAGATTGAGAAACTGATTATCTAAATAATAATCAAAATAAAGTACATAATCTTAGTTTAGATATTTACATTTTAAATATGCTTTAAGGTAGTATAAAAGAAAATAACTTCTTTTAAATATACCAGAAAGTTACAGAAGTTATTCTCCTCTTCTCTCTACTAGCTTGCTCACATACGGTAGGTGGACGGTACTGCTATTAAGCAGTACTATTCAGGCAAATAGTTGTGGTTTCAACTGCAATCCCAAGAAGTTTTTTGGTTGTAAAACTTTCCTCCAATGAAACTAATAAAAAGCACCTTCAATTTAAAAGACTCTTTATAGAAGTTACATAAATAGCTATAATATTAATTTCTTACACATGAACAGAATGACTACAGTTAGCCCAAATACAGAAAAAATAATCTTTTTTAATATGTCTAAGTAACCAATAATGAAATTTTATTTCCAGATTACCTAGGAATTTGGGACAAGACTGAAGATTAGCTACATACTAGTACTCTCTATTAATTGGTTTTCCTATTATGCTTTGAAATTCATGATATCCAATGACAATTCTACCTATAATGAACCTTTCATGGTTCTGTTGCATAATTTCCTCAAAATAATGTTTTACTTTGTGAAAACACAGTCTGCAAATACATGACAGCATTGATTAGGGACTTTAAGGAAAACTGAGCCTCTGGTTTCATATCTGTATAGAAAGTGACAATAATTTTAATGGCGTCTTAGAACTGAGAGTGACAGGTTGTTCTAAAACAATTAAAACAGTTGTGCACAAATACAAAAAGATAAGACAGAAGTCAAGTGCTATTAGTTAAGGTACATATATAAATGGACTAAAATTGCAGTTGTGGATAATACTTAAAAATGGAAACTGTTTCAAAATAAAAAAGCAATTACAAGGTCAGCCTAATATTACAGGAAATTTTTACTATGTAGAAATTTACAACCCGATTACAACCTTGAGGAACTTATTTGTGGCTATAAAAGCATCAACTTTGCCTGGCCTATGTGGCTCAGAGGTTGAGTGTCAACCTATGAACCAGGAGGTCACGGTTGGATTCCCAGTCAGGACACATGCCCAGGTTGCGAGCTCAATCCCCAATGGGGGGCGTGGAGGAGGCAGCCAATCTGATTCTCTTTCATCACTGATGTTTCTATCTCTCTCTCCCTCTCTCTTCCTCCAAAAATATATTAAGGAAAAAAAAAAAAGAATCAACGTTAAGGACTTTGGATTTAGACTTCATATGGGAAAAGCTTTTCTTTTCAAGTGCTTCTGACACCTTTCTAGAATCTGGTTCAAGAAATCAGGAGAACCAAGATGGCGGCATAGGTTAACGCCAGAATTTGCTGCCTTGAACAACCATTTCAAAAGTGAAACTAAAAGACAGAACGGACACCATCCAGAACCACAGGAACACTGGCTGAGTGGAAGTCCTACAACTAGGAGGAAAGAGTAACGCATACGGACACTCAGAGGAGGCGCAGTGCTGAAGTCAAATTCTGAGG